TGGGTGGTGGCCCTGACGGTGGTGGTGGTGGCGGCGGACCCGGCGGCATGGGCCCCATGGGTGGTGGTCCCAACTCGATGGGGCCGGTACTTAATGGTGGTGGCGGAGGACCCGACGGCAGCGGTCTTGATGGCATGAAGAACTCACCAGCCAACGGGGGACCGGGTACGCCGCGCGAAGACTCCGGCAGCGGCATGGGCGATTACAATTTAGGCGGCTTTGGCGGTCCCGGCGAGAACGATCAAACCGAATCGGCAGCCATTCTCAAGATCAAAGAGAGCATGCACGAGGAGGCCAAACGGTTTGAGAAAGACACAGATCATCCGGACTACTTCATGCCATAACAACATCATCATCACCACCATCATCAGCAGCAACAGCAACAGCAACAGCAGCAGCATCAGCAACATCTCAATACGGTGGCAGCTGCAGTGGCAGCTGTGGTTGCTGCTGCCGCATCCAACAGCACCGGTGGAGGGACGAGCAGCTCAACGGCTGCATCCATAGCTGCTGCGGCGCTTGGCGCAGCAGCCTCCAATTTGCTAAGTGGCGGCAGTAGCAACAACAACAACAACAACAACAACAACCAATCTGGCAACCCGACTTTGCCCACTGGCGCGCATTTTGCAAAGGAACTCAATTTCTAAATACACGATAGTGAAAATCCTTGGTACATAAGCATAAAGTAAAGTAAAGTAATTATTATATGTAATAGTTTAAAAAAGCAGAAGAAGAAAAGCAGAGAAAAACGAAAGCCAATGGCAAATATGTAAAATTGTAAACCGAACAGCAGAAAATAATAAGCGAAGCAAAAGCAAAAAGAAATTAACAAAAGAACAATATTCCACAACTCACATTCAAATTCAAATGCTAGTTGAACCGGTTCGAAACGGTAAGCAAATGCGACCAAGTGGCAACGCCAGCGGTTTGCGGCTGAGCATGGCCAGAGAGCCAGAGAACGAAAACCACAAAGCAACAAAAATAAGCAAATATACTTAAAATGTAATGTTAAATGCAACAACAACAATATGTTTAGCAGTCTTCTGATTAGTTTAGTTGCAACAAGTCAAAACTGTAGCCTCCATATACACTCGCAAACCCACACACACACAAGAACACACACACACAATCTGTCTACTAATTTTAGCGATGTAACAATTTTATTTGCGCTTTGCATTATTAACAAAACAAAACAAAAAGAAAAACTTATGGAATATTTAACAGCTACACCATCTATGTACATTTTCTGTTTGTGTGATTTTTGCATATACTTATATAGATATATACATAAACTAAGTACATAAATATTATTAATATTGTATTGTAGAAATTGAAATGGCAAACAAGATTTTTTGTTAGGCAAGTCTTAAAGGCGCAACAGATAAAAAGAAAAACGAAAGAAAAGGCTTCAGGAATTCAATTGAAGTTACAAAAAAAAAAATTGAAAAGAAGAAGAATTATTTATAATATATTAGGGAGCATAGTTAGCATTATTGAACATGTATATGTAGAGCCTGTAGCACACATACATAGGCATAACTGCTCTGTTTGCGCACTCCTTGTTTTTGTGTCTGTGTGTGTGTGTGTGCGCGCGCGTGTGTGTGTGCGTTGGCTTTTCTCACAATGCACATTTTATTTGGTTTTTTCTTTTTAAAACAAATTGTAAAAATCGCACTTTGTCGTCGTCGTCGTCAGTTGTTTTTTTTCTTCTATTTAATCCTTATTAATTGCATGCGTTTCTAGTTATGTTTTAAGTTTGTTTATTTCCTTCTTTAACCATGCCAAACTTCACTGTGTAAATTAAATTATACTTCTATTCTTATTTGTACATTTTGTGTTTAACAAAAACAAATTGTTATTAAGTTCCTTCAATTGCTTCAAGCCCCGCAGTTGCGGGTCTCTGGCGGATCGAGCAATATATATGATTTATTCATTTTCGTGCACTTGTTTCGATTTCTGAAATTTCTTCGATGTCGACATTGTGCATTAGGGCAGCGAAATAAATAATTATACATATAAATATATATAATTCAATACATATACATATATGTATATATACATATATATATATATATATATGTGTGTGTGTGTGTGTGTGTGCAGATTGTGGCGCATTTTATGCACATATTTATTGCAAAGTAGCTACGCGCTTAACTCTAAGAATTAGCTGTTTAATATGCATATAATATATATATATTAATTATCTATTACTTAAAGGCAGCAGGCAACAAATGTAGCAAACCTAACCTAAAAAGTTAACTTCGAAAATATCACAAAAAAAAAAAAAACAAAAAACAAAAAAGCTGTACAAAAGTTAGTTAATGTTGGCTGTGGCTGCGCAGCTAATGTTAATATTATGCATAAAGTATATATACATATATATTTGTAGCATACATATATATATATATATATATATATATATATATATATAAATATAATAGTATATATGTCTGTGCTTGCATCTTTTTCTCGGCACAGCACATTCACATTAAAAAGCAAATTAAAATTAAAAAAAAAAAAAAAAGAAGAAATCCGTAGAATTTAGATTTGAAAGCTAATATATAAGCGTAAAACCCATAAAAAAATGATAAAAACTAAACTTAAAACAAACAAATCAAAATGAAATTCTTTGCATTATAAATACAAAACCCAAATCAATTGATAACATAATATAATAAATAAAATACGAAACAAATTCTATTTTAAATATTGTATGTATATGTTTAATGTGTCGGAATTTGAAATATGTGCGTGACAAATTAATGGCACGTGTGTGCTGCATGAATTATTATTGAATTGATGCCGCACCAGAAATGATGCGAATGCGAATGCGAAAGCAACACTTAAATAGTATCTAAGTTAAATTTATTATCTGCAATCGCTTTAAGTTCGAGCGTTTCAATTGCTGGATCTATATAAATGTATGTATGTGTAATGGCGCGGCGTTTAAACTAAAAAAAAAAAAACACAAAAAAAAAACAGCAACAAAATAAATGATGCAAGCAAAAAAATGAATTGCAAAAAGAACAGAAAAATGAAAATGAAAAAATCCCGATTGAATATAAACAAAAGAAATGTTTAAATAAGTATTTTAGTGTTAATTATACAATTTACAAGTACACAACACAAAACAAAAACAATATAATATAAATGAAATAAAGTTTTAAAACAATATTTGTAAAAAGTACAAAAGTGTTGTTTTCTTTTTTTTACAAATTACAATTTGACTATTTTATTCACTTACAGTTTTAAAATGCAACAAAACATTTATGGACCAATAAATTACACTTGTATTCCTATAAAAAATTGCCTTAGCTTTCTGTGTATGGGACTATAAGTCGGCACGACCAAAAAGGAATTTTCAAAGAACCCACAGTAAGAGCTGGAAACACAAGATATTTATGATTTTTTTTAAACAAAAGTATCACCAAATGATGTACAGTCGAAAATAAACATAATATTAACATTAATTGGAGCCGAGCAACGCCGAGTTATTTCCCTAGTAAAATTTATTTATCGGCGTCTTCTCTATAAGATTCTATACACTTTTTAAACTTAGTCTTAAAACTTCGCTAACGAAATTTGAATGACTGACTGGTCGATATTTAAAATTTCTATTTAATAATATTAAATATATATAAATATTTGCGATTCTAATATTTAGTAAGTTCAAGGCAATTTAATTATGCCTGTTAAATAAACTATAAATATTGATATTTATTCTTTATCGTTAATACTTTGTGTTGAATTTTATTCTAATTCATAAAATATTGGATTTTGTAATTAATTCATAATTCATGTTTTTCTATAATCAATGATTAAGTATTTTAGTTGAATATCATTCGTCAACCCTTAACCCTTATCTTAAAGCTTACTTTATAATAATTTATTTTATTTAATTTGAAGACAAAGATAATTGAACATTTTTGAATAATCACAACTTAATTTGTTTAGCAATTATAAAGAGAAAAGAACAGAGTAACTCAGTTAGATTCAGTTGAAATAAAATAATGCTACTTTCTTAAAAAGGCAATTTAGAAGCATTTCATATACATTTCAACCAAGATCAGATTAAGATTGAAAGTTTTTAACATTGTGAAGTTGATTGCCTTGCCACATGAATGAAACATCTGGCAAAAATTGGAGCAGTAGAGATTGCTAATATCTGATCAATAGGTAATGATCTTTTGATTGTTTGCTGTTTAATTGCATTATTTTGTATAGAAATGCGTGCAGTTAAATTGGGCGGCAGAGACCAAATTGGCGTGGCACACGCACAGCTATTGGCGTATCCACCATGTCGGACTAGTTGAGCTGTCAAAGCACGTTGCTGGGGCAACGGGCCCACACAAATGTGCAGCAGACCTAATTACTTTGGTTAGCCACTATCCGGGCACACTCGGTGCTGATAGCGTCGTCTGCGTCAATAAAATCAATAAATGAGCGGTTAATAAAATGCATTTTTATATCGATTTGTAATCGCATCCCGTCTGCTGGCCATTGAGACAAGTCCATGCTGCAAAGTGGCGTCCTGTTTCTACAGTTGCCTGGGTTTTGCGCGCAACGTGGCTGCTGCTCCAGTGGTCAACGATTCAGAGCCGACGGCTGCGTTGCCCAATTGCCTAACATATCGCCAAGTTGCAGGCGCCGGCAACGGTGCCGGCTCAGCGCCAGCGCGACGTGTCCCAGTGTTGTTTTCCACGAACCGTGGACTATATTTGCGTGTGGCACAGCCTCAAACGATGCTGCAACCAGCCGTTGCAGAAGCTGGACGGCATTACGACATAAGCTTTTGCGATCTGGAGCGTTGGGTGAGCTGCAGCACCTTTCACTAGTTGAACATCTGGTAGAACTTTTTACATTCTCACACAGAGCACAAATCGCGCCAATGTGGTCAGCCTAGAGGATACGTTTAGCATCCTGCAGCCGCAGCAACAGCCACCGAACAGCCAGCAGCCACGCGCCTGGAACAACTTTGCGTACTACAACATACAGCGCTGAGCTGCTATCTTTAATCGAGCCTGAGCTTGAACATACTGTGCGCTTACTTGAATAACATTTTTTATAATTATAAATACTATGCTAGACAATTAAATTATGGGTCTTTCATGCCGTGTTGCTCGTCAGTGATGCCATCAGAAATTCCATTTTATTAAGAAAACTCTTGCCCTCAATCTTATCAAAGCGCACCTGGAATTAAAGGCAACAATAAAGGCAGTTAGCAATTGTAATATGAAATATGTACGTATATGTGCGCTGTTTACCTCCTTAAAATTGCCACCCAAATTCTCCCAGAACTTCTCTGGCACAAGTGGACTTGGAAAGAAATCTTGACGTGGACTACGCGCTATATAAACCTTGACATCGATTTGCGGATCGCAGCGTATCTGCACGGCAATCATGCGATCGCTGTTGGGCGAGGCGAGCAGACAGGAGCTGGCATTGCCGAGCGGCTCTACCTTGCCAATTCCGAGATGATTGCTATTCGAGAGCACCGTCCAGGCCATGTAACGCGCCAGGCTCACCAGGCAGCTGATCTGATGTGAATTGATTTGGCATAGTATGAGATCGCGCAGCTCCTGCGGCTCATACGACAGCTTCATGACGCGCCCATCGCGGCAGATGCACTTCAGCGAACGCTCCTTGACGTGTATAACCAGAGAAGTGCGTCCGATGGCATCATAACCATGCGTCACAATATTAATCTTCACACAAGACATCGTGGGGCTGTTCATTGCATTCCAGTGCGAAACAATTTGTGGATCCTTGACATCGCGAGCCAGCGTATCCAACACATACTGTGTGCGCTTTCTCATAAAGATGTGCTGAGCCTGAGCAATGATTTGCTCCAGTATTGTCTGCGTCTTTGTCATGTCCAGCAGCGCCTCACGGTCCGCGGCAGTAGGCCCCGCCAGCATGCGTTTCTTGCTGGGACCCAATGGAGCGCTTGCCGGATGTGGAAACGGATGATGTGAGTTCTTGTAATGCACCTCGCGCAGCAGCTGATGCAGCGAATGCTCCAGCACATGATCATGATCATTAATAGGCGCCGGCTGGCTGGAATCGAAGCTGGTCGAGTGGCATAGCGAGATGATTAGCTGAATATTGGGCAGCAGCGTGGCACGTATCTGATTACCAATAACCACATGTGGAATTGGCGCCTGTAGCTGAATCGCCTCGCGTGCCAACTGTGCGAACAGTTCCTTGCAGAAGAGCACGTTCTGTGCAAACTCCAAGGACTTTTGCCAAACGCCCACCTGGGCGGTAATGTTTGGTCCATGGCCCATTAGATTCACCTGAAATTCAATTTCCAAATAAGGATTAATGTATCTAAAAACAGTTAGATAAGCAAATGTTACCTGCGCGGTGCACAGATCTTCTTGATCCTTTTGGGTGATGACCTTAATATATGCTACGCCCTGCAGCTCAGCGGGCACAATGACGCGCAGCGCGGAGCTAGCTTTTGGCTGCATGCCATTATTGCTACTGCTACTGGGAGCAGCAGAGGCGTTCGCACTACTGCCGGCCCCTTCCTCGTCGAGCGCATCCTCCGCTTTGGTCACTTCAAAAGTGCCGCTCATCCCGAACTTGGAGCCCGCTGTGCGATAACTTAGATCACCAATGATGGCACCATTGGATACCTTCTTTAATCGCCAATTCTGACGCAGACGCAGTAGCTCAATATGAAAGTCGGAAATGTTGCGACTGCGCTGCTCGCTGTGAGCATTGCGTAGTCGCTCGGCACCGCTCAACAGCACTTGGGCAGCCTGCGAGATGGCTTTTTTGCGACTATAGACCTGCACAATGGGCTTGGTGTCATCGCCATCCTCCAGCAGCGGATCCAGCACCAGGTAACGCTTGTCCTTGGCAATAGATATGACGTCGGATAGCACGCAGATTTCGGTATATGCATCCTTCAGCTTATTGCGTACTGCATCCCAGGGCCATAGGCTCTCCTGGAATTGATTGGCATCCTTGTTGTCATCTTCGGCAGCAGCGGCTGATTTTTCCTCCTTCTTCAGATCTTCCAACGAAGTTTTGCTGAAGTCTATGCGAGCTGCGCACTTTGCAAGACTCTCGGAAAGTGTCGGCGGTCTGTGAAGCAACTTGTTGAGAAAAATGCATACGCTATTGTTTGGTTTCTGCGGCAATAGCCGCACTCACGGTTGATACAGCTCGGTGCCATCGTAGGCGATCTCACGTATCTGGTTCTCGCACGTTGTCTCCACGGATATATTAACCGAGTTGGACATGTTTCCTAGCCAAATCTTCAAAGCCGGGCATTCGCATTTGCAAGCGCAAAAACAAATACCAACTTGGCAGGGTTGCACCAGCAGCGATAGTTACCTATATAGTATCGATAACATACGCTGACTCTTTACAACACTGCGACATTACTTTCATATTTTTGTTGAATTTCAATTTTTGGACCACACAGCAGTAAACCTTTCCAGCAACATGTTATTTCTTAAAAGCAAGGCAAATACACTCGATGTGGCCAATTACACGGTCATCGTACCCAGCATCTGTGTGGGTAATGCGGCACAATTGGCCTGCGACCTGTTGATTGCATCAAAAAAACTGAAACGCATCGGCAGCCTGTCACATCCTGCCCTGATACCGGTATATGGACCCTCAGCCTACCAGCACGAGCCGGACGAGCGGGTATCATCTTGTGAGCTTTATGAATCCGCGGAGGATAAGCTATTGGTCATACAATTTCGTGCGCCACTTATTGCGCGACATACAAAAAGTTTTCAAATTAACTTAGTAGAGCTGCTGCAGGCGGCGCGCCGTGTGATCGTTCTCAGTGGCAGCTTTGGCTTTGAGCGACGCGTTATCGAGGAGTCGCCTTGGGCATATCGCGCCAGTGACAACTTTAAGGCAGCCCACGCCGCACAGCTGGGGAATGCGTCGCTTGTAAAGTGGAAGGAGCACACGGGCGAGCACATCTTTGGCGGCGGTAATGCGCTGCAGCTGTTTAATGCGTTCGAGGAGAAGCAGGTGCCGGTCATGCTGCTCTTCCGTTATCTGCTAGAGGGTGACAACTCGACAGACGCCTCACTGATTGTGCGTGAGCTAAACGAGCTGTGCGAAGATTTTCTGCAGTTGCGCGACGGCGGCGACGGCGGCTTTAAGCTGACCGTACCCAAGTCTTGGAATTTGTTATTTGGCAATGAAGTAACCGAGTTACTCTTTTAATTGTGGACATTATTTGAAATTATTACAATAAAATCTAATCTTTTGGTGTAGGATAATAGAGATTGCTCGCACTGTGCTCCCTGAAGTACTCGCCGCCATACTCCTGGTACAGCTTTCGCGTTGTCAGCGATCCGCTGAAGTTCTTGCTATTGGCCTGCAGGCATGCACCCAGCCAGGCGCTCAATGTGGGATCATTCGACTCGTAGATGGCAAAGCTGGACTGAAATGGTCGCAGTTCCAGCAGCTCTTTAGCCAATCTTTCCTTCAGGCCACGAAACTGCGCACAGCTTCCCGTTAAATAGACATGATCCACCAGGCGCTGCTGCTGCTCGGCCGTGAAAAGTTTCAGCACAAACGCAATCAGCTCCGCCAGACCCGCTTCCGTGCAGCCAATCATGCTTGGCTGAAAGAGTATCTCCGGCACGCGTATGGCTTCCACGCCAAAGTGCAGCTGATAGTTCTCGGCTGCAATGAGCGCCTGCATGGCTGCATTGTTGGCATCATCGAAGCCGGCGTCGTAGTGCTGCAGGATTTTCTCGTACTCGAGCATCTGTTCGTTTTCCGCATCCGAATCACTGTCGTCGTTGTAGCGATTGATGCGCTTGTACACATCCCAGTCGTTGTCGTTCATGCCAAAGCCATCGTCCTCCTCATCACCGCCGTTGGCTTTGCGGCGCTTCTCGCTGCGCGCCAGCGTAGAGATGATGCGCATGCGCTCCTGGGCTGCGTGCGTGTGACGCTTGGCCTGCTCCTGACGCTGTTGCTGGCGAGCCTGCTTGCGTTGCAACAACTCCTTGCGCTTGTCGCGCAGCTCCGACAACCATTGAGCCTGCGGCATGCCCTCTGGCGGTTTGGGCATCTTGTCCAGCTTGTCCTGCTGTTTGCTGGGCCGTAGTTGGCCCACAGCGCGTTCCTTAACGCGTTTTATGCGCGAAGTTAATGTGCCCATTAGCTTGTCAAGCTCCTCCAGATTGGCAATTTGCTGTTGTTGCAGCGCACGTTCGAATTTCTGCAGTTTTTCCTGCTCATAAAGCTGCCTCAGCTTGCGCAGTACCTGCAAGTACTCTTCATCCTCTTGCAGCTTCTCGCGCTCGCGACGATTTTTAATGTCCAGCAGCCGCAGGGCCAGCTCGCGACGCTTCTCCTGCTTCTGCTCGACAGTTAGCAGTGCATTGGTCGCCGTCACCTGATTGTAAGGCAGTTGGATTTTCATGATGTTGTTCTCGTAGTAATCCAGTTGTGCCCATTTGAGCAGCTCCTCCTTGTAGTCCAGTGCAATGTGACAATGTTCATGCACCAGTTTCTCGATGCGACTGGAGATTGCAGTCAGATGCACCGGGTACTTCATTTGCATCAGCCGAAATAAATAATTATTGATGTGAAATCCACCTACATTCAGCCGACGCACGTGCTCCAGCTGCATTTTGTTAGCCAACACAGGAATCACGTGCGTTGTGCTATACCCAAAGGATATAATAAGTGCATCTGCTACGAGCTTATGTTTCTGTTGATGGTGCTGCCAGCTATAGAGAGCATCAATGCCGTAGGAGAGCGCAGGCACGCCGTAGCACTCGAAGAGCAGTTCGCTCATTTGGCGGCGACACGAATTTGGATTGGCCAAAGCTTCGGTCAGCACAATCGGATGCGCAATGCTCTCTTCTCCATCAAAGCCCATTTTGCTGAAGATGTAGTCGAAAATTTGCTCCTGATGATTCCAATTGGTAATCACATTACGCTCGAAGGGTGATTTGAGATGTGCCCGCACCGCCTCAATGTTAGTTATGTCATTGCCTATTTGGATTTCTGCGCTGGCTTTTAGCTCCTCTGCTGTTGCTGCAGGCGCAGAGGCATCCGGCAGTTGGTTGTCCTTCTTGCGATCCTTTCGTGGTTTTGTCAGTACATTGCGAAACCTCAATTCAGGCTGCTTTGTGTCGTGCCACCCGACGCGGCATTCATACGAACCATTGTCGATTATCAGCATGCGCTTGGGCACTGCCATTGTTTTAAATTGTTTTATTATATTTAATTATCAATTTGTTTACAACTTGGTTGTTTACAGTACATGCGAATGCAGTTCAAGTATTTTTATTTTGAGTTCACGTTTTCCAACACTTTATGTTGCTTCAAGCCATTCACCATTAGTGGCAACCCTGTAATTTAACTGTAGATCTTAGTTTGCATATACCAATTTATATACGAATGCTTACATGTATTTCATATAGAACAAAATTTGCTCAGGTTCGAGGATTTGCGGTGATTAAACTCAATTACTTTGATTTTGCAATGTTTGTGAAAATAAAGTTGGAGGATCAGGGGAATGATAAGGTGAGTTTACAAATTAAATTAATGTATTTACATTGAACGCTGCTCTCTTAGGCTCCTCACATTTTTAACATGGAGGACACAGCCTCAGTCTATGATTTGAAGCGCCATTTGGAAGCCTTTGTAGACATACCGGCAGATAAACAGGAGATAAAAACACTCGATCGCACATTGAACAACTTTGATGAGCTCTCTAAGGTCGTTAATCAGGAAATTGGCGGCGATAATATTAATGGAGCGGCCATTTCTCTATATACGAACAACCAGTTTTTCTGCTTCTTGCAGTTCTATAGCCAGGACGAAGGTGATAAACAGAACAACTTCTTCAGCCAACCGTCAAATGCTAGAAATTTGCCCATTGATCATGTGCCACAGTATTGTGAGAATATAATTGACTCGGATAATTCTTGGCATTCGACAACATCCGAATCAGATTCGACAGATAACAGCAACAGTAGCAACTCCTCAGAATCAAGCGAGGATACGCGAAATCGTAAACGCAAATCGATTACAAAGAACGATTCTCCCCCAAAAAGGTGGCTGCTAATTCATATTTAAATAGCCACAGATAATTTTTCAACTAATTTCTTGTAGATCCTGCCCTTTAACAGAGCAAACCGATAAACGTTGTGAACCTACATCTACTACAGCTACTCCGATGAGTCAGGCGAAGCCACACCTAGACAAAATACGTGTTGTGCCAGAAATACCTGCAGTTGCACCTTCAGTGACTGCTTCAAAACTCACTGCAGACAGACAAATTGACAACGTTATAGTGGGCGAAAAGGCGCCACAGGCTTGTATTTCCTTTAATGAATCTCTTAATCAGAGATCCGTACAAGAGCTAAGTCCAGACCCAACTATGAACCTGTCTGCTCCCTACATTGCCATGAAGCCGGAACAACGTAGATATGCGCTGGTTATAAGCCATGCCATCGATGAGCCGCATTTGGACTATGATCGTCTAATGAAACATTTTTATCAGCTTTTTGAGTCCTCTGAGAGTTGTGGTCGCTTAAACTTTAGTGAATATGCCTCAATAACGGCTTACGATGACAAATTGTGGATGCTTTGTGAAGACAATGAGACGTGCGACTGGATTGCTACAGGTGTCCGCACTATGAACGCATATAAGTGTTTCAGTTTTATTAAGTATTTCGAACTGTTGAAATGCAGTATGGTGCTGCCACAAGTTGTTGAAGGAAAAGAGCTGAAGAATATTTTTCATCTGCTCGAACTGCAGAATCAGGGCCTAAGCACAAATAAGTGGTGCGTATTGGAGCGCTCAATGCTCGATCAGGAGTCGGAGCAGTTTGCCAGCAAAGCCGTAACCAGTTTATGCAAAAATGAACAGCTCATTCTGTATGTGGATCGGGAGAGCAAGAGTTTTATACAAGATCATTGCTTCAAACTCAAGTACTGCTTCTGGAAGCTGACTTTTGAGTTTTAAAATTGTTTGAGTGCAGTCAAACTAGCATATTTAGTAATTGAATTACGAACGAGTTGAAACGTATAATTTGAATAAATACCCCGTTTTTTTTTTAGATGTTTTTGTTAATTTCTCAATCTAAAGCAAAAACCAAATAGTTCTAAAATGTCTGTCCACATATTTAAAATCTAAAATTCACAGAAAAGCACTTTAGGTTTACCGCTCAGTAATCGATACACTGCAAGTTATCGGTAAATTCGAATTATCGTTGTATATACTTTGCCAACTTATCGATATTGTCGATGCATTAAATTCTTGGGCCATCCCTAGGCGTTAAGAGCTCATTTTTGCATCCAAATAAAAGTAATTGAAAAAGCCAAGTCCTGCTTAAACTGCTGGGACTTGGGCTATTTAGGTAGCAAATAAGAAGTAGTTGAGCATGGATTTCGAAACCATCAGTATTGAGCAACTGGAGGAAGCAGTGGTTGTCTTTTACCGTTCCACATCGCAGGAACAGGCAATCACACACGAATGGCTGACGAAGGCCGAGGCCAGCCCACAGGCCTGGCAGTTTTCCTGGCAGCTTATGCAGCTGGGCAAGGTGGGTGGCTTTGAAATTTCGCTTTAAGGACCGAAAAATTAAGTTTTTACTGCATAGAGTCAAGAAGTGCAATTTTTTGGCGCAATTACACTACACTCAAAGCTGATGAAGTATTGGCACGAAGTGCCACCCGAAAACCGTGAGGAGCTGAAACAAAAGATTTTGGAAACGATTGTGCAATTCGCAGGAGGACCCAAACTAGTGCTTAATCGGCTTTGTCTATCGGTAAGGGCACAATATGAACAGCACTTGTATACTTAATCCATATTTGAATTACTTAGTTGAGCGCTTTTATTGTTCACATGCTGGAGGATTGGCCTTGCGCCATTGAAGAGGTAATCGAGACGTTCCAAAATCAACGTATTCCAAACGTTACCGCCGATGTACAGCTGTGGATCATGCTGGAAGTGCTGCAGGGCATACCCGAGGAGGCGCAAGTCATTCATACCTCCGTAAAACGCGTTACACTGCGCGCTGAGATAGGCAAGCGTGTGCCGCTCGTGCTGCAGACTGTCGAGGCATATTTGAAGCAGCAAATGAACACAGAATGGGACACCGAAGGCTACAACAATATGGCACGTGCGGTGAAGTGCGTCAGTGTCTGGATCAGGTGCGAGATAACCATATATCTTTAAATTTATATACCTAGCCTATTGTAAAACTCGTAGAAGCATTGGCTACTCAATTGAGAGCTGCGTCAGCATCTGTGGCGTGATGTTGGAGCTAGTGAACAAGTGTTACTGGCCCTGCATCCGTTCTGGCGTTGGCTGCATGTCTGCCGACGAAAATGAACTCGCCGAGACCTGTCTCAAGGCAATGGTCAGCATAATTGTGCAGCCAGATTGTCACAACTATCCCAAGACGGCTGCTGTGCTGATTAAAATGTTTCTGGATTCACTATGCGACATCACCCAAAGGGAATGGCGACGGGATAACGATAATGAAGACATTATTGTGCACATCTATATGCTGTTTGTGTCTGCCGTGGAACGACATTCGGCTTTGTTTTTGAGCGGCATCACGGCCACAGATCCAGAGTTATTTGCCATCTGGTGCCGCATGGTACATGAGATACTGCAGTGCACAGATAAGCCGGGAATATATCCTGTAGAGGAATCATGCAGCACCATGGCCCTGGCTTTTTGGTATATGCTGCAAGGCGATGTTTTTGCCATGCCAGACGAGGAAAAGCGCAAGTGCTGGGAGCATATAAAACCGCTCTACGCACACTTGACCACTGTCCTGGTTCGTAAATCCGAGCAGCCCGACGAGAGCTCCATTGACAAGTGGAACTCCGATGATCTGGAATGTTTCCGTTGCTATCGTCAGGATATTTCCGATACTTTTGTAAGGCACACACTTTTATCCTGGTAATTAATTATGCTAATTCGCAGTGCCTTATCGTCTGCAGATGTATTGTTATGATGTATTAGACGACTACATATTGGAGATATTAGCAGCTATGCTAGACGAGGCCATTGCCGAGCTGCAGACGCATCCCACACACTGGACGAAACTAGAGGCTTGCATCTACTCATTTCAGTCGGTCGCCGAGCATTTTGGCGGCGAGGAGTCTCGCCAGATACCCAAGCTAATGCGCGTGCTCTCCGAGATACCGTATGAGAAGCTTAACGAGAAGCTACTCGGCACTGCGCTCGAGACAGTTGGCTCCTATTGTTCGTGGCTAATGGATAATCCCACCTTTATACCGCCAGCTATTGATCTGCTGGTACGCGGTCTCAACTCGACAATGTCGGCACAGGCAACGCTGGGCCTCAAGGAGCTGTGCCGCGATTGCCAACTGCAATTGAAGCCATACGCGGAACCGCTCCTTGATGCTTGTCAAGCTACGCTCAGTACAGGCCGCATGAAGAATTCGGACTCGGTGCGTCTCATGTTCAGCATAGGTAAACTGATGAGCTTGCTGCCACCGGAGCAAATACCCAAATATCTAGACATCATAGTCAGTCCCTGTTTCGAGGAGCTTCAGACTATTTGCCAGGCGGGCGCCGTAAGTAAATTACACTATATCTGATTATATTTATAATATGAAATGTCTTTGTGCAGACGACACCTGCAGCACGCATACGCACAATATTCCGTCTCAACATGATCTCGACGCTGTTTTCGTCGCTTAACACAGATGTTGATGAAGAGCTAAAGGAAGTGCACAATGTGCAGCCCGTGCTGCTGGTTATGGAAAAGACGATGCCAATTTTTCGGCTCATTGCCGAGCTGTGGGTGGAGGAACTAGACGTACTAGAGGTGCGCGCTAAAAACCAAACCTAATTGTTGGAATTGTGTAAACTTTTATCTACATTTACACAGGCTGCCTGCAGCGCTTTAAAGCATGCCATTGTTAATTTGGGAAGCAGCTTTAGGCCAATGTTGCAGGACTTGTGCTATTTTATTGTGGCGAGTTTTCAAACCCGCTGCTGTGCGCCCACTCTAGAGATAACCAAAACCGTGAGCATGCTATACCTGATTTAGTTAGGATTGAAACCACATTTGACAACTATTTCAGGCCATAATCGTCTTCTTCTCGGAGGAGAGCTGCAAGCCATTGATGCAGCAGCTGCTATTGGAGTTTGTGAAGCACAGTTTTAAATTGTTTGAAAATACGCCCCATGAGAACTTCTCCAACATATCCGATACCATGGAGATGTTCTTCGCCTGTCTTACGCAAATCATTAAAAAGGTGCCACAAGTGTTGGAGGACAAAACGATTGCCTACGATCGTCTTATTTACTATGCACAGCGCGCCATGACGCTACCCGAAAATGGTCCCATACGCGCAAGCACACAATTTGTTACACAATTTCTGATGCAATCGAGGAATCATGCGCATATGACCGATGTGGTGCTAGCCTCGGGTGAGCAGATCCTTCACACGGCCATGATTTGTGTGGGCTATATGACGCCGCGACAGCAAGTGGATAAATTTGCTGATGTATTTCTATCCATGAACAAAAAGTATCCGGCCGAAATGGCTGTTTGGCTAAAGACTGTAATGTCCGTGCCCAACTTTCCCACTGAGCTCATCAGCGAGGCCGAAAAGTCGCGTTATGTTACGCTTATCATCAAGTGAGTAAAATCCTCGCAGCTGCTATTGTATATCTTCTTGACACCAATTATATGCTCTACAGGGTAAAGTTCAACAAGCGGCTGCTGCAACAACATCTGACGGAGCTGGCTGGCAAGACACGAGGACTTGTCCCGCTTCAGTCTCCAGCTAATTGAAGAGGAGATTGCTCAACTTCATGGCCAAATCTCTTATATTTTATCGTCCTGTTCTGTGTAATTAGATGTTAATTGTAATTAAGGCGCTCTGTAAATGTTCCTTCCAATAAGTTGTTTATTTTTAATGATGTCAAATATTATTGCTGTGCTGGGGCAGGCAAATATATTTTAAATATAGGTTTATAAATATTTTGCCTGCCCGAACTCAGCTTTATCTTCTGAAATGAATGTGTTAAAAGGCTGTTTCTTGACATGATTTAACGTTTATTCATAATTTTACAAAAATTACACGCTTTTGTTAACGCTTTATATGCCTTTTATTACAAATTCCTTTTTATAGGCCATATATCTCATAATATGGTTTTAATGTTGATCTTAAATTGAAAACTTTGATTTTTTCACCGTTTTCCAGCCTATGGAATTTTCCTTAATTCACTTTCATTGTTTTCTTTATTTTTTTATTGTTCTTTAACCCTTCATATGTATCTATAATGCCAAAAATATGTAAATACATCTCTATATATAATATATATGTGTCTATAACTAAATGAAGCCTTTCATTTACTTGGCCTGTACAGCACTTGGTAGTGGTAGCAAAAGTTTGATCAGCTCTTGACTGACTGCTAGAATATTTGAAAATATTTGTATTAAGAATCCGGGCCATATACCAGGGTTTATACGTATATAATATATAATGACTGTTTTGCCTGGCATCAGTGCCAATTAATGACTGTCACGGATCCAATATATACGTATGTAAATATATATTTAAATATTTAATTATATAGAAATAGTAGCTACGACCAGCAATAGTCCAAGTCTGTTTTTGACCCCGTTTCCAGAGTTAATGGGGATGATAATGATCAAGCGATATACATACTATTCATGTTGATGTGGATGAAGTTGGAGTACTCTCGTGGTTCCATATTAAGTGTCGATGCCCCAACTTACATAGAAGAATATGTTTCAATGTAAATTTACCTAAAGGAACATCTGCTTATAAATTATTTGAAGTCCACAATTAAGTAAGTATCTCCTACAGATTATGATGTCTGCGCCTTTTTTTTCTCTCTTTTCATCAAATATAGTGTCTCCTCAATATTCAATACACACACAAAAAATACATACATACATAAGCACACACATAAATATACATACCACATTTGTTTATAACAAATTGGAATACATATATACCAATATATATCGTATATATTTAAGCAGTTAATGGTAAGTTATTCGCATATAGTATAATAATTATCATTTATTACGGTTCAGCCGTATGTAGAGTTTACTGCCTCTATTGTATCTGTATCTGAATAAAATATGAGCCACTGCCTAACGGTATAGAAAAGTCAAGAATATTGCACTAAATTGAGCAGATTCTAATTCAGGAATAGCTGCTAGGTCTGTCAAAAATAACTAGCAATATTACCATCTCTTAAAAGAAAACCTAATGATAAGAAATACATAAAATATAGTTTTCGTTCGAAACAAAATGCTATATTTTATTTAATATTATTATTTTCCAGGCGAGTTTTTCGACAACTTTTGCATTTCAATACTATAACCAATATATTTATTTTCCTTTATGTTAATTATTTAAATTGGTATTTTAGCCTTTATATTTGTTATATTGTCAGCAAAATATAAAAAAAAAAATAATAATGTCAATGCGCTCAAAATTTACCCTTTCTCTTTTCTCAGCAATATTTTGTATACTGTTTAATAAGCTCGGTGTGATATTTAATTGTCGCTAACTTTACTGTTTGTCAATATAAGCTATTGTGCTTACTGTAGAATATATAATTCTTAATTATTTTTCTTCCTGCATAGATTTTTGTATATCTCATATTATTGTTTTTGAAGTAAATTACAAACAGAAATACAATGACCAGTGTGGCAAAGTCATGTTAAATCGCATACCTAGGTGTCTATATAATTATTGACTTTTGTATACCGTTTCAGAGCACGCAGGATATTTGTGTGGATGACTATTATAGCTATATCGAAGTAGTAGCACACATATGCATAGTAGTATGTATAAATGGGTAGGTAATGCTCAATCAAAGGTGGTAGTTTCTTACGTCTTTAGCTTACGCAATGTCAATTCAAAAACTGTACAAATTTTGACGTATTCACTGAAATGGTAAGAGCATAATGAATCCATATTATTATTGGAATGGTGTATAAGAAAATTGGCAATGGCTGCATGCAGAACGACAATTGGGGCAAAATATCATTTCATTAATTCGTTTAATTCTTTTTGGCTCATGCAATGTTTCGCGGTAAACACAAAAAGCATTTATCGCCTTTCAGCTAGAATTTGTTTGGGATTTTATTGGTTGGTATTATGCGTGTTTATTTATTATGTAGTTATTATTGTAAATTTATAATATATTTCTATAAAACTTGTGTGCTGCACTTGTTGCCACACGCTCACAAAACATACAAACAACAATATACGTCAGCTTATTATCATCATCATCATTATCATCATCAAATCATCTGCAGCATCATCCAGCCCCCTATCATTATAATCATCGATTAGACATATTTCTGTTTCTATATAAGTGTTCTATGTGTTCTATATGTGTATTTCGTTTAATCTATGTAGAACCTTAGCGACGTCTGTGCAACGCCAGCGTTCGGGCACGTGAGGGAGGACCAGCCCGAGAGAATGGGGTGACAGACAGCAGGCCTAACAGTTGTTTGCATCTGGGGGCGGCGTTGTCAGGTACTCATCGGTTCGCTTGTGCTCGATGAGGGCGCGCACAGTACCGCTGTCCGAGGGCAGGTCGGATTTCCGTCGTATCAGCGGCTTGTCCTTGTTCCGTTCACCGCGCATCTGTGGGCGAGGGGAGCGTAATGCAGACGTAGTAAGGCATTTAAATGTTGTCACCTCTGAACCCAGACCGATTATCGATTACGTTTACGATTACGATTACATAAGTGTACGACACTTGACGTTTGACAGTTACAAGATCTGAAGATGTTATTGCCGGGTGCAGTTCGTGATGATGTGGCTTAGAATGGGTGCTATAGTTAGTTGCCGACACACCGCATAAGGGAATCACTTCGCACGATTATCTATGTACACACACATTCATATACCACATACAATATACATAAAGTAGAAGTTTATATTATTTACATTGTGGCGGTTTTAAAGATCAAACAGCAATGGACGTAGTAAACAGGAGATGGTGTATTAACGAATTTAAAACTTTGGACCTATCATAGATTTTGTGTTGCAATGTTAAGTTATTATTAAAGTAAATGACAAATGATTCTGTTCTCGCACTAGTTTAATTTAATTGATCTAGCTACCAGTAATATTAAAACTCATTTTCGATATTAATCAATCTTACCATATATATATATTTCATATGACATACGATTATATAAATAGTAGTGACCGATGCTCTCAACTGCAGTGCAAATGATCATACGTATTTACACACATATGACAAACATATGCCATTAAAGAAAAAGTTTAAGATATTTAATCAAATTTGGCTTGAGACAAGAGAAACTTTGTCGACAATTTAATCGAACCTAAATTTAAGCTATTAGCGTAGCAATAATTTTGTATTAAGGCCCTAAAATAAAATCCCTAGCTATGCCCTACCTTAATTTAGTAATGAATATGAAACGATTTTCGCTTTGTAAAGATATTATCGATAAACAAATCGATTATAACATAAAACAATTGGTGTTACAAGTAATATTTTGTATTTTAGCTATATGTTAATAAGATGTATTAAAATAAAATTTTTGCAGAGCATCTTTTAGTCAAAACATTCTCATTTATGGTTATATAATTTTTCTGTATGTTATGCGCATTGACGGAAATAGAGGGTGTGGGTGCTTGGAAGTAGTTGCGTAATAAAGAAAAGGAACGATTAAATAAGTTGTACATATATTAATAGATACAGATACAGAAACATGTATTTATAACTGACACGAGTGCGATTATTGTTTGCAACAGGCATTCATTCGTTCGTTCGTTCGTACGATTCGTGTTAAGACAGGTGGTTGAAGGATTAGCTGGCTGACGCACAAGCACACAAACACACACACACTTTTCTCAAACACGTACACAGTACGCTGGTGTGTGGCTGTGTTCAGTTAGTAGTTGTGTAGTGTGGTTAGTGTGGCTAAGGCTTGTCTCACCTCTCTGGGCTCCTGGTTTGGCTGTTGCTTTAGCGCCGGTGGCGGCCTTGACTGTTGCTCAAGCTTATCGTAGGTTAGATCACAATTCTCATTGTATTGATCGTACAGTATTTGACTATCGGACATCGACAGACTATCGCTAAAGCGACGCGCCTTGGTCCACTCCGGATTGGTTTTGGCCAGGCTCTCCACCTGTTGCCAAAGCTCCTCGCGTTGCGTAAGCTTCTCGCGTTCCCTAAAATAACATTTGGCAGAGTAGATTGTTTTCGTTAGCTAAAGGATAAACTATAGAGGTTTCATCTTCTTACTGCTGCTTCTCCTGTTTGTAGTTCTTGCTACACTCATCGAACAGTCGCTGATTCATCTCCATGAACAGCTTAAGGGCATTGTAAATGAGACCGTGAATGGTCTTATTCCAGTGCGTTTTAGAGTTACGATTAAGCGCTGGAAACATGATGGGCAATATGGTCTGCGAATTGTCCGCTATCAGCGACATAATGTACTCATTGTTCCAGTAATAAAGTGCACGCTCCGCCACCTGAAAATGCGGCGAAGAGACGCATTTGGATATCTGACGGAATAGGGGCGCCATCACCTTCTGAAATTCGGCCGGTTCAATAACATCGAGCAGCTCCTCCACCTCATTCAAAAACATAACCTCCTTAGGACTGTGGGTTTTGGGCCAAAACTTCAATAGACTTCTACAAGAAGCAAGTGTCCAAAGGTTAAACTCGATTGTATTCAAAAGAGCGGATACTGCAAACTTACTTTATGACCGCCTCTGACAAACTGGGATCCTTTTCAAGGAACTGCACCACGCAGTATGTCAGCTGCGGATGGTATACGGAGAGGCTCTTGGCTTTGTGCAATGGCAACAACACCTTAAGTAAAAATTGTTTGTGCTCCTCCTTGAGCGGTAAAGCAAATCCATTAATGATGCTACCCAATATTTCCAGCAACTCGGCAATGCCATTATGATGCTCCGTTTCGTAGATAAATCTGTAAATAAATTGAAAATGTTGCATACGTTTGAAAAAAATATATTTAAAAATAACAATATAAATCTTGAAATAGAATATAACCTTGCTTGTGCTCTTACTGACCTGTAAAACACGTTGTTGATCTGTTTCCTAATAAATGCCCTCAATCCCAAGAATTTGCCATAGATGCGATGTAGAACAGTCTTAAGGAAATCACGTTCACGTGGATCCTCCGAATCGAATAAATCCAACAGTTGTAATACAAATTGATGATCGATATAACGTTTTGCAATATTTGGCTGGAAATCGGGTGACTCCAAAAAACGCAAAAATAGCTCATAGACTAATTGCAAATGTGGCCAAGATGACTCCAATGTTGGCTCATCCTCTTCCGGATCGAATTCAGCGCCATTGGGATTCGAGGAGGGCGGCAAGGTGCGAAATAGATTTACTGAAAACTAAACAAATAATATAGAGTAGAGAAAAATATCTTGAGGAAAACTGAATTATATCATTTATACCATATTGATGGCCTCCGGGTAGATAATCTCTGTAATAACGCCATTCTGATTGGACAGATACTCGACCATCTCGTGCAGGGCGGCACGTTTGACCTCCTTCCATTTTAGATCGCTTAGGGGCTCGGAGAAATCGAAAAGAGTGCAACATTGCCGTAGTTTCTGCAGAAACAGCTCCTCCCGCTCCTGCGCTGGTGTTTCTATGGAGGCAAATAGTCAAGGGGTTTTATAAACTATATATATAAACAGTATCTTCGATAAACTAAATGCACTACAAATCGAACGGAGACCAACGAAACAACAATAAATAAAAAAAACTGACGGAAGCAAGCTTAACTAAAAACTATATTTTTTTTAATGGATCTAAGAAGCTAAGAAGGAGCGTAACCAATAGCAACCTCGCAGTGGCGGCAACGCCAGCGCAGTTGATGCGTTGGGCGGCGAGTGAAACAGATTCCGATCGCGTGCGCGTCCTGGACTTCCCGTCAGCTGTTGCAGCGTCTGCGGCGACGATAGATTGTGGCCCATGGCATCGCCGTTTTGGCGTAGTGCTGACGCAGACGACGACGACAACGACGTCGACAACAATGACGACGACGCCACCGACACCACCGCCACAGTCGCCGTACTGCCGTTGCGCTGGCCAATGCCTAGGGAAATGCTAATGCCACCGACCAGATTCTGTGCCACTGTCGAGCGCAGCGGCTCCTCGGGCGCTACTTCGCTGCTGCTGCTGTTGCTGCTGCAGTTGGTGCTTGACGCAGCTGCATTGCTGCCCACATTTTTGGTGGCATTCAATATGTTCTTAATGGCCGCGGCGGCGCTCACGGGTGACTGTTGAATGATTGTTGAGGTTGCGTGATTTGATTTATGAAATGAGTAGAGCAGAGAATTTCATTCATTACGTGTACAACTTGAATCTGTCTGGTGGAGGCAGTGTCTGGTTGTGTCTGTGTGTGTGTGTGTTGAGGCAAAACCAATTGCTGCAAACCTTGTTGCTGGACGAACTGGCTATGCTTGCAGCAGTGACTGCGCTAGATGCAGTGCTTAGCAATGAACTGGCTGTGGTGGCTGCCGAGAAATGTTGCGCCAAGGTGGACACCAGTGAGTTGCCGCTTGTTCCGGTTGCAACTCCAGTTGCTGTTGTGGTGGGCGTGTTCTTAGACATGGCTGCTGGTGGTGTTTGTTGTGCTGCTGCTGATGTTGTTGTTATTGTTGCTGCTGGCAGCACATTCGTCGTCGCGGACGACAGCGACAATGAGGACGTGGAGGTCTGTGACCCAAACGGCGATGAGGAGGCAATTAACGCTGCGGCTGCGGAATTGGCACCACCTCCGTATGTGGCCGCCGATAAGCTGGAAGCCGATAAGCTCGCTGCAGCCGAGCCCAGCGAGGACGAGCCAGCCTGCGACAGCGATGACAGTGCCGATGCCGACGAATTTGAGCTAGTCGATGAGGACGATGGCGACGATGATGCGGTGGTGGTGGTGGCACTTGCCTCTGGTGGCGACAGTGGCATTTTGCGTGCCTGCACCTCAAACTTGGCCTTTAGCTCCCCCACGCTGCTGAACTTGAATTTGCTATTATCGCCCTGGCCCGACTGCTCCTCGTCGTCGGCCAGCTGATCTAAGCCGCTGTGAAACGATGGCGACTTGGGTATTCGTATGCCACCCAGTGCATAGTAGCCAGCGGCGGCAGCGGTTGCTGTTGGCTGCTGTTGCTGTTGTTGTGGCTCCTCCTGTTTAGCTGCTGCTGCTGCTGAGTTGCTTGCGTTGTTGTTGGCTGTTGCTGCAGACGCTTGTTGCTGCTGCTGCTGTTTGGTGGGGCCGTTGTGATGGTTACCCGTCAGCAACATAGCACCGATGACCATTTCATTAGTGCCGCACTTTGTTTAATGGCGGCGCAATCGAAAAGCATCGCTTTCAATTACACGACGCACTTTGGCTGAATGTTCTCATTTGCTAATTGCGGGACTCTCTAATAACAACAAATATGGAGCAACAACAAAAACGACGGGTAGGAAAAATGCGACACTAATAAAGGTTAATTTTTCTTATGATTTCTGTTTTTTTTTTTCTTTTTTCTAACGTTCTAAGCGTAAATTTTGTTAATAGCATCTGTAATGGGAATTGCAATATATAGATTATGATTTATTTATGTATGCAGATAAATGAAAACGATAACGAAATGAATTGGAAAATGGAAATGAAACATGTATGAAAAAAATATGAAGTGATTGCTGGAAGTCGCAAATGAGAAATAATAGATCTATAGACACACATGCGATGTCAGCAACTACAATACATACATATGAACTATGTATGTATGTATGTATGTATCTATATATCTATATACCTATATACATACATACATCTATTTTCGCACTTACGAATTTCTTTTGAGAACGGAACCGGTTTTAGGAATGTCTAGTATATTAACAATTTGATTTGGATATAACGGTGCACAGCGCGCTTGATAATGGAGACAATTTGCTAAGCAATTCAGTAAAACTCAACTGTTGGGCAACAATTTAAACGGTGAATTTAATTTTTGATTGCGGAGCTCTCGCAGAGCCGTGTTGAATGCGAGGCAAATTGTTGAGGGCAGGCAGGCTGAAAAATCGATAACATTTGCCGTGGGCGAGCGCAGGATGAGCAAAGAGAGGCATTCGAGAGAGAATGAGAGTAAGTAAGAGAGCGCCAAAAGTGTTCAACAACAGTGACGAAAACAATGCTAGACTGCCAAAAAGGGAACTACATATTTGAATGCCAACAGCAAACGTTTTAATAATTAACAAGTGGATAAGCAATAAAAACACCAAACAAATCATTGCGCTTGTATCTGAAACGGAGGAAGCGGTGCGCCGGGAGAGCGTAAATGGCGCGCAAGGCAAATGGCAAAAAAAGTGGGCGGCAGGCGTAACTACCATATGAACATATGTATGTATGTATGTACATATAGGCAGATGTGTAAGTTGTGCAGTGTTGAGTAACCCAGCAAAATAAACATCGCCCACTTGACCTTTGCGAACTTGCTTAATAAATAATAACACAATAATAAAATTCCGACGAGCAGCAGCGATTCGACAGCTGAGCGGCAACGCAAATCATATATCAACAAAATTACTAGTATACACACCACTACACATATGTACATATTTACATCTATATGTAGTATATGTAGCTGCACATATGTAAATATTTTGTTTACTCACTTTCATTGAGCGGACTGAGCGCTGTCAGTTCACAGTTCTTGGATACATTGTAGCGGGTGCTGGTCTGTCGCTTTTCCTTTCGCATCAGCGGTGTGGTGGTCAGGTTCAAGCCCTTGGTGATCTGCGTGGGCGGCGGCGCATCACGCGGTGGTGTGCTGTCCTTGTCTGTCTTGTTAGCCTGCAAATATCGAGCAAATTCATGGTCAGCAGCGAAAGGCGCTTCATCTTCTTGAAGAGAGAAAGAGACGGGGCAGGTGTAGGGGGGACGGCGGCGGCAATAGATTGAAATTATAGTAAAAACCAAACAAATGAAATAATAAAACAATTTCAAACATTAAGCTTTAGTTCCTTTTTCGTGGCACCCTTTCTATTACCTTGGTCTGTGCAAATCCTTGCCGCCTAAGCTGAGCTGTCGCCTGTGGGTTGTTAGTCTCGGTTTTAGTAATACCAACAAAGAAATGTGCATTCTCTAAATACACATACATTAATGTATATGTATGTCTTGGTGTTTTCACTACATCGATTTTTGATTTGGAAGGCAAAACTGTGAGACTCTAATTGAAATCAATCATTAGGCATATGTGTACACATTGGCGATGATAAGATTAGATATAAACAATAGTGCGTTAAGGTTGAGGCCACAAGGAGGTCTATAAGTGTGTGGGATACGACGAGACTAACATATAAATCGTTCTATAATTGACGTTAATTATTAAGCATGCTCTATTGGGTCGGGACATTGATCATTTCTTGTTTTGCCTAGTACATATTGCGCTACTAGAAATAACTTTATGCATATTCGATATTGAATGTAAAACAGTAGTCGGCGGAAAATTTTTCATTTTCCGATTAGATACAAAAACAAGTTTTGCTAAAAATAAAATAATCGATTTTGACTGAATAGCATTAAATAATATTTTGTTTTGTGATAATATCGAAATAGGCATAGGTTATCAACAATCTGTACTAGAAGTGTTCGAAAACGTATTGTGCACGAATACATACATATATTTAAAAAACATTTATTACTCACCTCGCTTTTGATGGGAGTAGCAACAATTCCACTGGTTACAACGATAGGCGTTGTGCTTGTTGCTGCTGCTGAAGTTGTTGCTGTTGCAGTTGTTGTTGTACTAAAGTTACTGTTATTCTCTTTGATACCGTTAGCGGCTGTTGTGACTTTGTTATTGTTGTTATTTGTTGTTGCCGGTTCGCTTTTAATAGACGCTGCTGCCTCTGGCGCTGACGTTGGTGACACCGCCGCTGCTGCTGCTGCTGTCGTGCTTTTTGTTGCTGCTTCTAACGCGTCGTTATCCATAATCCGGTCTCAGCTTTATCTGCAGCCTAAGATTGTACTGCTTCTTCTTGATTGGTTCTTAACAACACAACAACAACAGCTGTCACCGCATACAACAAAATAGAGCAATTTTCGTTCTCTTTAATTCGTATTTATTTCTTAGTTCTCTCTTAATTGAGTTGTATCTGATAAATACGGACAAAATTCCAAACCCACCGCTGTGGAAGTGTTTAAAAGAAAATTAACGTAGCAATAACAAAACCAAATTAGACAAAAAGATGACAACAACAACATGCAAAAAAAAAAATTGACCGATCAGCCTACACACATATGCACATGAATACACAGACACACACAATCGTACCTTGTCGAATATGGGGGTAAAAAGAAAAGAAAACCGCTAGTAGCAGTGCGCACTTGGCCTGAAGACAAAGTTGTCACATATTAATACCAAGTTACAGCTTTAAGCACGCCGAATCCGGTTCTAAACGGTTCTAAGCACATCTAAGAAGTTGCATTCAATCAGTTCCGATACAAATGCATATGTGTGCACATGCATACGGTTTATTTACATGTATGCACGCACACATTAAAGTTTTAAAGGGATTACTTCGATTGGGCTACAGATTAACAGGCACACTGGGAGCTAAAGATCACGCGACGGCTCCCGCAAAAAATTAAAATACTCTGAACGCGTTTGTCGCTTCCGCGAAATTGCAAACACAGAAAATAAATACAAATATCAAAACATACAGACGCAATGCGACAGCAAGCAACAAGTTGCGAAGCAATGGCCGTCGATCAGAGTTGCCAGACTAAGAATTCATCTCATTCCCATGCGAACATCAAGTGTGTGGACAACATTTGTTGATATATTTAGGGAGGTAGCGGTGTAGGGGTGGGGTGTCTGTGGGCCTTTACATTTCGCTACACAAATATTGTATAGAGCAACCGGAATATATGCAAAAAAGAAATGAGCAATATTTTCAAACACTCGCATATTTTATATGTCACCTTAGAACGCGTGGAGGGCGACAGCTCTGCTCGCTAACATGGGGAAACAGAGAGAATAGAAATAAACTGAATGTGTACTATGCATAATTAATAGTTGCAGAAAAAAGACAAGCCAAACAATAATAGGAATGCAAAAAAAAAAAAAAAATGTTAAACTCTGAATGTCAAAAGGGGGAGCGTTTTGGGTTGGGTAGGTACTAGTGAAAAGAGGGAGCCTTTTATTTACCGCGAGAAGCTGCAAGATCTTATTAAATTTCCCTCTACTGCGATTTAACATTAAATATTTTGCTGATTAATGTTTTTTTTTTTTTTTTTTATTTGTTTTACGTAAATGTTAATTCTAACACACGCACACACAAAACACTCGCAATCGCACTCGCAATGTTTTCTCGTTTATTCACTCGAGCTCTTGAGGCTGTGGATATTGCTGTGGGAAATTTTTGCGCTTCACTTTTGTGCTATAATTTTCTCTGCCGATTGAGAATTTCGCAAGGCTTGCTTACAAATCACAACGTGTTATCAGCGCTAGTGCTTTCAGTTCGCTTCTTCATCAAAAACACTTAACATCAAGCGCAATCTTAATTATAAATAATTATTTTTGTAAAATATTTTGTTCACGCAACGTCGCTGCTAAATAAAAGTAGTGTTGCCAGACATACCAATATCAGCTATTAGGCAAAAATATCGATGGTCAATACCCCAAAAACCAGCTTCATCGATACATTGATGATGATTAATCGCTTTCGCAGCCGCATTGGATGTTAAGCCCAAAACTGCATTCGAAAGAGTACAGACTTCATTATATTCAGAAGTGATTGTTCATATTTTTTTCCACATAAAGCGACACACATAACAAAGAGTGCAAGTCGATGATGTGATGAAGTCCCTCCGGGAGGAATAAAAGAAATTAAGCGCTATTTGTTTCTGCACCGATTGAATTGATCGATTAATTCATAGATTCACAGTAGAATTCACAGAATCAAGATATATGTATACATATTTTCAAATAAAGTGAACAATACTCTTTAAAATTAATAGAATATTAATCAACTAAAATAAGGTAGAAATGCATGAAAATTAAACAGCTAAAGAGTTCAATTCATCACATTATTTTATGACACTTGTGGGCTTATCTTCTAAATTTAGAATTTATAAAATTCTACTATCGATGTTTACAATATATTTTAATTGTATTCGACAAAAACAAGCATAAACATCGGGATTTGTTTTCATCACTAACTTGCAGATGGCAACACTGGTATGCGATTTTTGTTTATAAAATAAATACGTTTTAAAGAGTCTACGCATAAAAATTGCCATGAAAATTACAATAAAGGTGCTCAAAGGCAAAGATTGTACACTTGAGGTAGGTTGTTTGGTTATTTACCATAATACTATGTACAATTGAAATGTTGTCTTCCTTTCCGGACAGGTGTCACCGACTTCCACCATTCTGGAAGTAAAAGAACAAATAGAAGCCGCACTACAAATACCCGCCACAAATCAGAAGCTCCTTCTGCTTGGCAGACCTCTGAACAATGACCACACAATTGCATCCTATCCAAATATCAAAGAGGGCACCAAGATTAACCTGGTCGTCATGAAACCTGGGCTGCGCGACTGCATCCATCGAGCCTTTCGCAAATACTATACGGAAGCGCAATCCGAACGGCTGACCAACGAATTCATGACTGATTTTGAGGCAAAGTTGAAAGAACAGAGCTTGGACGATTTGGAACGCTTTGCTGATAATTGTTTATAAAACTGACGACGCTATGCTGATAAAGCTATTAACATAATATCGCAAAGAAGAAAACAGATTTTACTCGATTTATATTATTTGTTGCCCAAGCATTATTGTAGTAAAAAAAAAAGAATGTCGACTGAATTTATTTGAATACTTTGTCATATCCGATACAGATTTATTTGCAACGGCCTGGCAACTCTATATTTTGCATCGGCCATTGAGCAAGTGTGAGTGGTGCCAGTGTCAGAAATGCAGGCGTGCAATTTTTTTAGCCGAGTTGTTAACTCTACGAAGACTAACGCGCGATCTTTTTCCAGAACACTTGGAGCCATGGTTAAGGTAGGTTATAGCTCAGCATCCCAAGCACATTGAAAACAATTGTAGTTAAATAATTATATAAGCACAAGCAAATGCCTAATAAATATTGATTTGGGCGGAAGAGAATGACACAAAGTGCAAGGCCATCATCAAGGTTACATCAGTTCTATCACTAATGCATTTGTATGCTGTGTGTGTGTTTGCGCTTGTTGGCTTTTGTGTATTTTTCTAGGTTGGAGACAAACTGCCATCTGTGGACCTCTTCGAGGACTCGCCAGCCAATAAGATAAACACCGGCGAGCTAACAAATGGCAAGAAAGTGATATTCTTTGGTGTGCCCGGTGCATTTACTCCCGGCTGCTCAAAGGTAAGTTAATTATCGAAAATATCATTTAACTTTTTAAAATTGGTATTTACGCATGTGTTTGCCCACAGACCCATTTGCCGGGCTACGTAACTTCAGCAGACTCGCTTAAAGCGGAGCAGGGCGTAGACGAAATCGTCTGCGTTTCTGTAAACGATCCGTTTGTGATGTCTGCATGGGGCAAGGAGCATGGAGCAGCTGGCAAGGTTCGCATGCTAGCCGATCCCGCTGGCATTTTTGCATCCGCTTTGGATGTGAACATTGACCTGCCACCGCTAGGCGGTGTGCGCTCCAAGCGTTACTCCATGGTCGTACAAAACGGCGAGGTTAAGGAATTAAACATTGAGCCCGATGGCACTGGCTTGAGCTGCTCGCTGGCCAACAAAATTGGCAAGAAGTAAACGCGCAATGTCTATTTCCCAATATTTACTTGTAGTAAACGAATCATGTAATAATTAGTGCCGTGGCCTAGCGCCAAAATATCATGTTTTCAATTATATATTGAAGCGAAACTATGTAGTGAATAAAAGAACTGCAATTATAAGAACTATGCTTAATGGTTTTTTGTTTAATATCTAGTTGGGCTAAAGTGTTGATCTTATCTCTAACGGTTGTCCGTGTTCGGCGCAATCTTTTGGGATAGTAGCTTGCCGTAACCGCCTCGGCCTGCATCATAGTCTGTTCTATATTCATCTCGCACCTGTCCGCCCGTCTTGCCGCGTCCATATTGACGGCCCTCAATAAAGCCCGCGTCCCAGTCCACACGAATCAGTCGATCGTCCAGCCGCGTACCATTTACAAATCTGCAATGTATCATAAGTTAGTGTATCGGGTTAATTTTACTAGATGGGGCTGCGTCAACCTCATGGCGGCCTCCGCTTCCGCACGCGTGTAATATTCAACAAAACAAAAGCCGCAAGGCGTTTTTTTATACTTGTCCAGGCCCATCACAATGATGCGTACATCGCCGCAACGTGAGAAAAGTTCGTGTATTTGCTCTTCGGTTGTGTAAAATGATAAATTTCCTACATAAAGTGTAGTCGAGTCACGCAAAGAGCGTTCCTGCTCCGAACGTGAGCCCTGGAGAACATCACAAATAAATTACAGGCTCTGAAAATGATTTTAATTATGCTTACTTTAAAGTGCTGATCACGATAGGAGCTCAAGTCTATAGATGCAGTCATATTATTTATTGAGTTGATAAATACAACAAATCAAACACAAAATATCCAAATTTTGTTGGCTTAAAAATAATGTCAGTGTGCACACACACTATGCGATTAATAATTATGGAACAACCAGGGCTGCATTACAAATATATGGGCAGCTATCATTTTTGTGTACACACTGCACGCGTAAAAGAAACAGCGTAGCAAAACAAACTATAATTAGCTACCAAGCTCACAAAGCGACAGCGCAAACAAAATAAAAAAGGAATTAAATGCATAATTCTCAGACTACCAGCGGTATTAAAAGACAGCTGCGTTTTCGCGGTGATGTCAGCGCTAACAACAACCGCATCGAGGACCTGCAAAATGAAGAAACTTACAAACTACCAAAGGTCAAACTGCCAACAGTTCCGGATGACGTTGGCGCTACAGCAACAGCTGCACAGCAGCGCTTGCACACTGGTAAATACGAAAAATATATGAATCGTGGCAGGATTTTTACTTGCCTTACGTATTGGCCTTATAGCCGGCTCGGAGACGAGCACATTTTATGATTTCTTCAAAGTGGAAATGACACGCGGCTACATGTTGGAGCACGACGAGGAGCGTTATTCGGCACGTCGCCAGAAGATCTACAGTTTTATGCGCATCCCACGGGATCTGGAGCGTTTTATGGTTTATGGCATTATGCAGTGCGCTGACTCCTTTCTCTATATACACACATTTTTGCCCGTGAGATTTCTGCTGGCCGTTTGGTCGCTGCTGACGCGCACTGTGGCACGCATTTGTCGACTGCGCGGCGGTGGTCAGCGCCTACTATCCCCCGCTGAAATATGTGATTTACTCAAGGGTGCCATCTGGATATCAGTGACGCTGATCATGCTGCTTGTGGACACCAATCGTGTCTACCACATCATCAAATCGCAGTCCATCATCAAGCTGTATATATTTTACAATATGCTTGAGGTGGGCGATCGATTGCTCTCCGCCTTTGGTCAGGATACCATTGATGCTCTCTTCTGGACGGCCACAGAGCCAAAGCACTCCAAGCGCGAGCACTTTGGCGTTCTCACGCACATTCTCTTTACGCTCATCTACGTGTTCCTGCACAGCGGCCTCATCATGTTTCAGGTGGGTAAAATATCGATAGCTATCCATAGCTTATATGAAATTGAAAAACCGTTGCCCAGCTGGTTTTAAATATGTTGCATTTCCTTAACTCTTGCAGGCCACTTGTCTAAATGTTGCTGTCAATTCCAACAATAAGGGCCTCCTCACAATTATGATATCTAATAATTTTGTGGAGCTCAAGGGCTCTGTGTTCAAGAAGTTCGATAAGAACAATCTGTTTCAGCTGACCTGCAGCGATGTGCGCGAACGCTTCCATTTGTCTGTGCTGCTGTTCATCGTGATGATTCAGACTATGAAAGAATTCGACTGGAGCATCACACAGTTCTGTGTCATGCTGCCCGATTGTTTTGCTGTCCTGTTCACGGAAATCCTTATTGATTGGGTGAAGCATGCTTTCATCACGAGATTTAACGAGCTACCCGAGAGCATCTATCGGGAGTACACGACGAGCTTGGCCTATGACATGACTCAGACGCGTCAGAAACATGCCTTCTCGGATCACTCAGACCTGGTGGCGCGTCGCATGGGCTTTATACCATTTCCGCTGGCAGTGGTGCTCATCAAAGCCATTTACACAGCGGTGTCATTTCACAATTTAGCTGCATGGCTGCTCTTCCTGTTGGCTTACCTATTTGCCTTGGGGCTGCGTATCTGCCTGACCATTTGTGCATTGGGCAAGGCATGTAAGCTAATGAAGGAGCATCAGACGGAAAGAAACAGTTCCACGCCCAGCAGTATGACTAATGTGCCCGTTATTGGAGCAACTGTTGGTCTCGCCATTCCAAATTTGCAAATACTGAACAACAATAATATTAACAGCAGCGGCAGCAGCGCACCTTTAAAGCCGTCACATGTGGCGGCTACTGCTTTGCCGCTGGATCAGAGTCTGAACTTTTCACGTGCTACCTCAACGTCTACTCCAAAGAAGGCGACCAGCGAGCAAGAGCTGGATGTGACCAATTCACTGGAGTTGGGCGCCACAGCGCTTTTCTCCAATAGCGATGTGGACCTAGACGATGTGTGCCTTAACGAGCAGGTGACCAATGTGAATTCAAATGTTAATGCCCAGGAAGTCTACCAGGAGGAGGAGCTGGCTCGCAGTGAGCCAGATCTTATGCAGCTAAACGATGCGGCTGGCGGTGAGGCCAGCAACAGTGCACAGCTGGAGCGAGTCAAGGGGCTGCCTAAGCGAACCCACAAGCGCTCAGAGTCCGAGCCTTTCATGGGCATGCAATGTCTCAACGAGAAGCCAATTGCGCCAAATGCTGGCGGCAATGCAACGTAGTTAGGATTGTTTAGTTAATTACTTTATGTCGCTTGTGGCTATAGTAAATCGCTTGAGTCCCCTGGAGCTGGAAATCCTTGCCTGGATAAAGCCCTGGTAATTAATAACGTATGTGAAATGAAATTTATATGTATTGTATTAGTTTAGGAATGTATGCTGATGATGTTCTCTATAAAGTTGACTTTATTGTACCCTCATAAGTGGGATATGCATTTGTTTATTATACTTATTTGCGTACGTAATCTTTGTTATTGCCTTTTCTTCGGCTAGAACATAAACGGCGGTTCGGATTTTCAATTCAAATTTAACTGCCACCTTGGGCATTGATATTTAACACTGATCTATGCGGTAATTTCCAATACTGATTGCATGCTGTTAGCTTACAGCAATTTAACCCAGATTACTGTTAGCTGCTGTAACACAACATTTTATTGCATACTTTTTTGGGCAATGCAAGAGAGAGAGAGAGAGAGAGTGAAGTTGGATGAGAAAGAGAAAGATGTTGCCGGTTAGTGAATGTCCCGATAATCGAGGCTTAACTGTGTCTAACGGCGCGATTTTTAATGTGATAGGGTAAATAAAAGAAATAAAAGAAAGTAGCTTATTCTACCAATTCTACCAACATTGTGGTTAATGGGGAGACAAGGAAGGAAATCAAGGACTTCTTATAAAGTTATAACCAATTATACTTCATTTACTGACCATCCAACCATGTAATCAAAGTTTGCCCAACATGATAAATTTAACCGGAAATGCGTGCCAACATCCGCAACGCCTCTGCGTAACCTTTAATATTCGCTGTACACTTGTGTGGGCTTTCCTTTCCTGGTCCTTGCCATGCTTGCAGCAAGGCACCTAGCCCAGTGAGTCAGTGCACCCAAGCTGAAGATTACTCATTGAGCATTTTAGGGGCGGGAGTTGAAGTTAGCCTAATGTTAACACAAAACTTAAGCAAATTAGTTGCTGGGCAGCGAGACGGGGCGCCGGCCAATTTTGCATGGTTTCATGAATGAAAATGGCTTTATTCGCTGGCATCGTGTTTACACGCGTAGAAAAATCAACAAGCAGCAAAAAGGCCGCCTTTGTACCCGCAACTGCTGCCAAAAACATACGCACGGCTAATACGGCTGCTCAGCTCACCTTGGGCGTGCACGCGCCTGAACACGCCGAAATGCAAGCGCACACGCACACACAGTAATACGCTCCTGCACACACACACGTACACACTCGTGCGCACGCACACACGCACACGCACACACACACGCACACGCACACACACACGCAATTTACCGCTACACACGCGCCGCGCCTTTGGGCGTTTCATTTTTATGAATGAAATTCTACGCTGACCTTGAGCGTAATTACGTCAGAGCTGCCATAGGGGAAAATTGCTCTGGGCTTACCCCTCAGAAAATCCTTAACTGCGCATGTCCATCGAATCATTTGGCCCCGCTTTCGGTTCGAGTTCGACTGTGGCTGGCTTCCATTCATGAATTGCCTTTGGGTTTTCATGAATGGTCGTGGGTCAAATCTGTTTTGGATCCCCTACTTTTCAAGGACACGTGTGCCGCGTGCCGCTTAGGCATTCCTATTGATTTTCCCATGTATATGTATACAGTTTTTTTTTGCACAAGCTCGCGCCTTTTAAGTTTCCGGTTAGACAACCAACATTTCGATAGTTTTACATAGTTTTAGGCCGTTAATGTGCGCTCTAGTGCAACAACAGGACCAATAGGATATATACATCGTATATTATATTTTTAGATATATGATTATGAATGTGAGCAGAATGTGAGCTAATTCGTAACTAAACAATTCGAATTTAATCCGATTTTTTTTGGGCTGCTCTTATATTTTCTTACATAAGTCTATGCGATGATATTATAAATGGGCATAGTCGATTTTTATACCCTGAACCCATTAAAAATGGCTATAAGGGTATATTGTATTTGTACGAAAGCCAAATGTATGTAACAGGCAGAAGGAAGCATCTCCGACCCCATAAAGTATATATATTCTTGATCAGCATCAACAGACAAGTCGATCTAGCCATGTCCGTCTGTCTGTCCGTTAGTCCGTCCGTATGTATGAACGCAAGGAATCAGAAATTTTAGATGTAGATGCTCCTAGTTCCCGCGCAGATCAAGTTTGTTTCCGATAATCGATAACTTACTCCGTTTCCAAGCAATCGATAAAAATCTATATCGATATCCTGTTTTTTTGGGCAATTTTGGTAAACAATAAGAGCTAGAGTCACCAAACTTGACATATAGCTTCTAAAATAGAATATATATATGCATTTGATGTTGGAAGAAGAGGGTTCAGGGTATCCCCTAGTCGGGAGCTCCCGACTAGAACCTTTTACTTGTTTAAGTTAAAGTTAATTTAACTGTAACTAAAAAATTGGAGTTTGAATGCAAGACTTTTCAGTTTTGCAAAGTTTTTGGCCCATGTGCGACTGCGTTAAAAAGCTGTCTCCAAAAACACATAATTTCCGGCCGGCTGGCGTGCGTTAAAAATAGCCTTGAGTAAGGCAGGCAAAACGGAAAGTGAACGCGCAGTTTTATGAATGAATAAAAGGGCACCCACGACCCACGACCTACGACCTTCAGCCACAACCAGTGCGAAGCCAGGCAAACTGTGTGGAAAATGAAGAACTTTGGATGAGAAGCCGGGCAGGGCCAACGTTTTGCCTTGCTCTTGACTGGCCTTAGCCCATAATTTATTGATTTTCATCAGTCGCGAGCCGGAGCCGGAGCCGGAGCGCGAGTCCGGCACATGCGCCCTTCGTGCCAGCCAGCTGGTTATCTGTGCGGCACATTGTCGTCACGTTCTGGACTCGCGGGCATGGGCTACAATAAAACTGTTGCGTTACTGACGTCATACGATGAAGTTTAGTAAAGACCGCATTGCCAAAAGTTTATAAATATACATACATAAAATATCTGTATATAATGGTAAATATTTAAATATTCAAGTCTTCGCCAAGATCGAAATCATTGAACCATTTGTAACGCTGGAGACGCGACTGAACTATCTCGCCCAGGACATAGAGGCGAACGGGTATTTTAGCACCAGGTTCGCCTTCGCTGCTACTCTCATCCTCATCTGGCCGTTGTTTGTTGGAGATCAGAACATCAATGACAATGACACCGTGCAACAGATAGATGACGCCGCAGCATAGAGCGCAGAGAGCCTGTACACGCATATAGCTAAAGACTGGATGCAGTGGCTTCTCCACTTCCAATTGATATTCACCCCGAGTGTGGAACAAGTGGAAGTCGCGCTCTCCATTCTCCAGGATCATCAGCGATATGAAAATGTACAATAAAAAGCCGACCATGGTGCGTACGATTTCTTCAAAAATGCAAAATTGATGTCCCGTGCAGATGTTGATACTAGCAAAAATTGTTAACACCGTGAATATATAGAAGGATGCCCAACTGAAGTAGTGGCAAATATGTGACCAGAGCGGCAAGAAATCCAGAGATTGCTTCAGAAACCCGTGGATATGGCAGAACATCAATACCATGTTGAGTAAAATTTCGATTGTGTAAAATTGGAATAAAATCGGACGCATTATTAACCTATTTGGCACCAAATACTATATGTTTTATGCAATTATTATTCACTTAATGTTTCTTGCGTGTTTTTTTTTCTTTCCTTAGCTTACTATTTAAATAGTTGTGTCTTGGTGTAGTTATATATTTAAAACTGATTTTTATTTGTTCTTAAATCCGACAGTTTTCGCACAGAATGTTTGATTTTTGCCAGCTAACTGAATTGCCAGGATTGTGGAGGTTCTTTGGAAACCCTTAAATGGGCAGCGGAGCACCGCGAGCAAAATTATAAAACCATTCGTACTGCTCAAGATGCGTTTGCACCAACCCGCCCAGGAGATAGAGACGAGCGGGTATATATTCAACATTCTCGCTGTACTCATCGGAATCATCAACCATTCTTTCGAAATCGGAGTCCTCCTCGTTCGACAATGACACATCAATGACAACGATGGCGTGCAGCAAATAGGTGACCCCGCAGGTCAGAGCGCATAACGCCTGGGCGCGCATAAACTCAAAGAACGGATGCAACGGTCGCTCCACCTCTGATTCGTGCTCAACCATTAGGTACATCAGATGAAAGTCCGACTCCGCATCCTCCAGGGTCAGCAGCGAAATGGTTATGTAGAATACAAAGCCGCATACGGTGCGTATGATTTCCTCACTCAAGGAGCACTGGTGTCCGGTGCAAATGTTGATACTCGCGAATAGAGTTAATATTGTGAAAATATAGAAGGACACGGAGAAGAAATAGTGAGTAAACTGTTGCCGGAATTCCAGAAAATCCAGCGGATGTGCCAGAAATCCGCGTATATGATAGAACATGATCAACATGTTCAGTATAGTCTCAACGGTGTAAAACTGAAACAGAACCGGCCGCATTATTGCCCGATTTTACACTGTCTATACTCCAATATAAATATGTATGTTGCCTCTTTCCTTGTTCTTTTTGTTTTGTTTTTTTTTTTTGTTTTTGGTCTCGCATCCGACAGTTTTTGCAAGGTATGTTTGACACGCTTTTGTTGGGTCCATGGATTGCTGAGGCAGTTGAGAGTGCTTCGCTCATCATAAAAAAAACCTCTTCACATTTGCCCCGTTGCCAATGTGGTTGTGGTTCTTGTTGTTGTTGTTGTTTTGGTTTTGGTCTTCGTTGGACTGCTGCCGCTGGAAACAGTAGCAACATTTTGCTGGCAGTTTGATGTTGTTGACGGCCCGTTGACGGCGATTATGTTGATGACGCGCAACACCAAGACCGCAACGAATTTACGCGCAATTCTCCACCGCTTCGCCATCTCGAGTGGCAAGCGGTAAGCATTTGTATTTAAATATACACCAAAAAGTGTTGCGAAAATGTTAGAACGCCTTGCAAGTCCCACTTAAGCATTAACATTCTGTTATCGATTGCATTGCATTTCTCTGTTATCGAGAGTTTCTCTGTTATCGTGCCATTGTTGCTGTTTATCCAATTGAGTGATGAGCTCTAATTTGTACGTCTCCAGTGTTGCTCAACGGCATTATTTATCTTCTGCTTTTAACGTATTTTCTAAAGGCTAGTTGCATTATTTTATGCTTCAATTGGCTACTGGATTGGATCCTTGTTTTGTCAACATTTTCGCGCGGGTGTATGTTGATGACCAAAAACGCAGAACCCACACTCACGGCAATAACAACAACTACAACAACAACAACAACAACAGCTTTGCGCCGACAGTAGCTGCAGGAATATAACAAATCAGTTGCTGCTGTTGTTGTGGCTGGCAGCCACTGTTTATCCGTTGGCTGTGTGCAAAGTAAAAGGGTTAATTCATTTGGCTACAGTTGAGGAGCCATTCTGACTGCGTCATCTTGCCAAGAGACGTGTCTTGTGGCTTTTGCTGTTGCTGCTGTTGTTGTTGTTGTTGCTGTTGTTGTTATTTGCGGTGGCGGCGGCTGCTGCTACTGCTGCAATTTTGACAAGCAAACAGCGCTTAAGCGAGTTAAGTGGTTGCGAGCAGCACAAAAGCCGCTTGCCTTTTGCCTTTGCCCAAGTCAAATTCCAGGGATCAACACTGCCAACCAGACGGCCTGCAACACAGTAGTCAACTCGACGCAACTCAACTCAACTCAAGCCATCGCCATCGTCACCGTCACCGCCGTCGACATCGTCAGCCTCATCATCGTCCGCCTCATCATCGTCTTGGGCTCAAGTTGAACTTAAGCGCGTGTGCTTGCCTAGTAGCTCGGGCGGCGGCTGCGGCGGTGGTTTTGGCGGCTAGCTTTTCTTTTTCTTTGTTTTCATGCCCTACACCCATTGAAAATGGGCTAAGATGGTGTAATGGTTTTGTGCAGGTGTTTGTAACAGGCAGAAGAATTCATCTTCGGCCCAATGTACTCCTGACCAAGAGCAATAGGTCTGTGCGTTCGTATAGAGAGCTAGAGAGCTGAACTCGAATCGAACGTAGGTACGCCGATTGTCAGCGCAGATCAAGTTTATTTTAATTTTCATCCCTTCAAAAATTGTATGATATTTTAAGAGTTATAGCCTTAGGCGTAAGTATCTACACACTTTTGTGTGTCATATTTTTGTCCTGCAAACTTCAAAAAAATCGGACTATAAATGCCGAAATTATTCTCGTTGGTAACGGCAACCAGGCGCTGAGCTTAGGGTATCTCCTAGCTGGGCATTCCTGACTGGGGCATCCTTTTGTTGTTTTTTTGCTTTTGATTTTCACCGTTTTTGTGTGCACAGTGTGGATAACACAACGCGCCCCGTCCTGAAAAGGGGCGTTTGTATTTGCATGTTATGTGGAATATGCACACACACACACACACACACACACACACACACACACACACACACACACACACACACACGAACACACATACAGCTCTGGCAGCTGCTACAATTAAGAGTGCTAAACTCTTGTGTAATCGTCCCGAGCTACCAAAACGCTCCAGTTACGCCTACCACCACGGGGCATGGCGGACCGCATGCCATTACAGTTAAATGCAAGTGCATAAATAACAATTACAGTTGCACCAGCAGCAGCGGCAGACAACAAAAACAACAACAACAACAATTAGAATAACAACAACGGACGCTCAGGTGTCAATTGGGGGCCGCGCTGTCCGGCGGCCATTTTGCAGCAAAAGCGCATTTGCTGATCGCCATATATCGACATATAATGCCCGTTGATTATTATGTTTACACTTGGCTAGCAATTTCATGGCTGCAACCATTTCGGCCAAACAGTGCTCTAATAATGAACCCGGGCCAAGAAATCTCAATGCAAATCAACGGCAATTAATAATTCATCGCCCGCTGGGCTCCTAGCATGGCGTCATAGCAATTATATGGGCCCGGTTGAAGAGAGTGTTGGGCAGAGCTCTGGCAAGAGTTTGAGAGTTTCAGGGGGGGGGGGGGGGGGGGCTTAGTAATACAATAAGCCAGTAATCTAAATGCACACGAGGGCTGCCCCTAAAGTGTTTCTACTAAGCCGTATTTAATAAGGCCAGTGAAAAGGTTGCCAAGTTAGGCTGGTTCGGTCTGTAAGCCAAAATTTGTATACTTCATATAATTTAAAAGCTAATAAATGTAATATTTTTTATTATTTCGTGTAAGTATGGCAACTCCACATCAGCTTTTGTTTAAAGTTACACAACACTTTACTACTTTACTTCAATTTATCGATTTCACTCCTCTTCACTTATTCTTATCGATATATGTATAATACATTTTGATAAAAAGTATCGTTGCGACTTTCATCAAACTTGAATACTCTTGAATCCATACTCGTTTATCTGTCCATATCTTTGTCTATATTCAATAAAATAAATTTAATATGCAAAACAGCCGGCCAACTGCTGCAGTGGCCGCCTGTCGTCCAATATCAGCAAATTTGCAATAAAATATTTGTCTGGCCGCCGTGTCCAGACTCGGTCTGGGTCTCAGCTCCAGCTCTGGCTGCAGCAGTGGGTCGTCGAGTGGTGGCCGTTGCGGCTACTGAAAATTATTTATTCGCACCTTTCGCCGCCGCAGACATCGCTTGCCGGCCCCGTGCCGCCCGGCTTGTGCCTGTCTGGCAGTTCACCCAGTTGGAGCTGCATTTCCATTTGCTTATCAAATCGCTTGCATCGTGCAAAAGAAATGCAGGGCAAATATAAATATTAGCGAGCTGGCGCAACTGCTGCCGGGCATCGTGGGGCGGAGACAGCCAGCCTGATATAAGATCGGTCTACGAAATTAGGCGCTGGCAAAAATCAAAAGCCCCTACGGCCATTTCAGCCTGTCCCAAGCATGAAAAGTGTGAAAACGAATTAGTGCAAATCCAACTGAGAAGTCACCATTTGCTCAAAGGGGTAGAGTATGCAGTAGGGCAGTAAGGCGCAGCGAGTGAAAGAGAGAGGTATACAGATAAAAGTAGAAATCAATGTTGAGTTAAACTCTCGCAAGTTGGGAGCAATTGAGGTTTAAATTTCGCGATCTGCTTATAAGATCTACTAGATTTATTCATACCAATTCAGTTTTCATTGGAGTTCGTTGGGAGCACCAACAATTTTCCATACAAAAATTATTCATCAGGCTTGCAGAACGCATGACAGTTCTTTATAAAAAATAGTCTTTGCATTTAAATATAACATCTTTTCAACAAAACGGCCGTCAATGCGAATGTGAACAATTGAATTTTTGCTAATATGGAAGAACCCTAATGAAGTCTATTATTGTCCGTAGGTATGTAACTATTTTTTGTGATTTTATTTTCTTTTTAAAATCTCTTCTTTCTTTTTAGCGCGTTGATCAGACCTCAGGATCAGGAATTCCGACGCGGAAGAGATTTAGTATTTTTTGTTAAGATCTGTTTCGACATCTCGTTCCATTTCTATTATATAAACTGAATATTTTTTGGATAGCTCCTTTCGCACTAACTAGAATGGCACAATTTTAGTGAGATATACTGGGAGAGAGTAGATAACAAAACACAAAGACAAGTTATATCTATAATTCCATAATAGAGCTATACTAAGAATGAGTAGATGTCAATAAGTATCCACGCATCATTTATATCCATAATTCCGGACAATTTTATTGGTAGATCTACAGTTCCGCAACTGTCTATACTACCTGTTAGGTTTGGGTTCCCAGCGCCAGATCCAAGCGTAACTTCAACAGTTGTTTGATTTCCCGTTCGACAAGCGAAACAACTTTTGAACACATGTTGCATGCAGCTTGTTGCTGCTTGTGCTCCACAAATGCCAGTCAAAGTTGAATTGTCACTTGTACATGGGCGCCCAATAATTATAACAATGGGTGGGCCACACATACACACACGCACACACACACACACACACACACACACACACACATGGAGCTGTTAACTGTGGCATGTTCACAAATTTGTTAGCATTCCACAATGTTGGCCACTGACAAAACGGCCGCCCAAAACGATGGAAGTTGCCAATGACAAATTTTGTTGTTGAAAATCGTGTTGCGTGTATGGCCACATTGCGTGGCGCATGCGTGGAGTCGGGCACATTGACAAATCGCCACATGGCGGGCGGCCAATTAGCAACAAGTCGGGGCAAAATTGAGCCAGCTCGCGGCTCAAACGGCAGCGCCTGGCTAAGCAGAGAAAGCAAATGGTTAATGATTCAAAACGGACTAGAAACATTTATTGCTGCCTGGACTCGGGTTGAAGAAATATGAACTGCACGTGCTGCACATGACTGTCCTCCAAAGGTGTCTCCAGCAATTCCAGTGTCTGCTGCTTGCTAAACTGTGCAAAGAAGAAGTATGAGGAAGAGGAGGAGGAGAAGGAGCTGGATAATTGTGGTCATCAGCATGTACTTACATTTAGCTTGAATTCCTCTAGGAGTGGCTCACCCTCTTGCAAATACAGTCCTAGAGCAGGAGTACCCAACTGCTCTATGCAACGCATATTAAACAGACTGTATAGCAGCTGGATCGTCAGTTGGGGGCAGTCGATCAAGTAGAGCTGTGTGAGCACCGGGCAGGCGTTAACAAAGGCCGCCACCTGTTCATTGTTGAGATTGGAGCAATGACAGAATGCCGCATAGCTGAGCATCGGCAGCATGCAAAGCGTCGTCACGTCCATGGCACCAAATTGACAATCGATCAGCATGAGCCCGTCCAGCCGCATGCAGCGTTGCAGCTCCAGGCTGAGCAGCCACTCGGCACTGCCCAAGTGGCTGCCATTGATCTGTATTGTTTTGATATCGTTGGTACGGCAATACAGTATCAAGGACATGGCAACGAGTGTCGTCTCTGCGTTCGCCTCCTTCTGTTGCAGCTCAAGGAATTTCAGCTGCGGCAGCTGACAAATCTCCGTAGCGGTGCTCACATCTATGGCTGCCACGGGTAGCGTTAACTCCTGCAGTTTTGTGCACCTGGAGATGCCGGTTATATCTGCCTTGCCGCTCCCCAATATCTGTAAGCACTTCAAGCGCTCACAGCTGTCCCAAATGGCAGCGAATGCCTCCGGCGAGACATCCTCGTGCAGCGCCAATAGCTTCAGCTGACCGAACTGCTCAACGAAACCCATCTGCACGGGCATGTGCAGCTGCAGGCGATGCAGACGCGTCAGCAGCTTGGGCAGCGAGTGGAGCGGCCACATGGCACAGTTGTCGCCCTTGCTGCTATCCCAACGGATCTCGCACTCGCGCACGCCGGGCAGCTCGTTAATGCCACAGCGCTCCAACAGATTGAGCTGCTCCTGCAGCTGGTCGCTGTTGAAGCGCACGCTGCTGAAGTGGCGGCGCATCTTGCGCAGAAATTGCTGCAGTGCCTCGCCGATCAGTTGTTTTTGGAACTCTTCAAAATCTAGACAAGTGTAGGTCTCGCGCCATGTGGCCATCAGCAGCTGGGGAAGCTGCCTGGAGTTGCGTCTCACCTCCACCTGCTCGGCAATGCTAAACTTATCGAGTACTCCGAAAAGTGGCGACCTGGCCTCCTTGTCCAAGCGCTTGTATTTGACCAGCACCGACTTCGAGGCCACTGGAGTGGACAACGTAGAGGTGCTCATTTTCGGCGAAAATGCAATACGTATTCTTTAAAACAATTTTTAAATTAGTGTAAAAGCCTTGTGAATTACTGGGGAGGAGTAATTTGTTGTATTTAGCTAAACAGCTCGTATATTTATGAGACGTGTATGCCTTTGCCCTTGCCTGCTCAGGTAGGATTTGTTGATTACAAAAAAAAAGCTGATATGATAAGGGGAATAATTACAAGGTTTCTTAAGAAAAACTTGATCGCTTTATTTTTTTTTTTTTATAATTTTAGTTATTTAATGAAAGTGAGAGAGATGTATATATATGTATTAAATTACAGGAAGATGAGCAGAAATATAGTTTCTCAAATTGGAAACTCATATAACACACATTTACAATCACAAACAGGTATTCTTGATTTAATAAGAATATCATAGAAGGTCAATATTTCAAAATGCTATTCATTTTCAGCGCATCGGAAACATCTTTTGCATGTATGCAAACTAAAAACAAAAATAAAACTAAATATGGGAAAATTAATGTGTTTTGATAAAAATAATTGAAATATTTCTTTTATTTGGATTATTTTGTCAGGTCAGTTAGGGGATCGAGGGTGGGAAATTGGCGCGGCTTTGGGCATATCTGAAGTTAACGCGAGTTACACAAAAAAATTTCGATACCATTTGCATATTCAACATAATTCCAAGCTTGCCTTGCGCGGCTTTAAACGTCAGTTTTTCTTCAGTTTTTCGGGTCGTAGAATATGATCCAATTTATACCCCCTACTAATTTCAATCCCTCTTTGCATACAGAAACACTTTTTATGTCAATTTTTGTATTTCCAGCACAGCACATGGTTTGGCCTAAGGTTCAGCTGACACCTCAGACCAACTGGAAGCTCCAACCATGCCGTAATCATCAGTTGCAGCTGGAGTCGGTGCTGTCCATGCGGTAGCTGTTAAATCAAATCATCGAAGACAGTAGCTCAGTTTGAATAGCCTGCACTTGGTGTTTGCCCTGGGGGCCATCAAATTACCAGCTGGCTGGACGGGTTGGGCTGTTGGACTAACTACCAAGCTGCCAAGTTGGCAGTTACCTGCTGCTGCCTGTTGCTAATAAAGCCGTAAAATTAAACGCCGAGCGGCTGTCCCAGGTTGCGCGGCCAGTGATAAACGCCCAAAGATGTTTTGAATTGTTTATTTGCGTGCAAATAATTGCTGCTCAGCTCAGATCGAGTCGGCTCGGCGCGCTAAGTTAAAGATTGGGTGCGTAATCAGCGGCTACTAACGAGCTGCCATTGCGTGTAGCCATGCCATTTGATGGGCGTGGCATTTCAAAGGCGTCAATTGGCAGCGCTAATGAGCCGCTAATAAGAAAGCGAGTGTCATCAAACATTGGGCAACAGGTGAAGAAAAATAAAAGCCCAGCTCAAACCACAACTCTATCGATTGGGGCTGGCTACCTCATGGGGCTCAAGACCTGGCAAACGGGGCGTTATGAAAATAATTAAAATATTTACAAATGCCAGCAGAGACAAGCCCAACATCAAATACAACTGCAACACTAAATTCCCAAAACTAGTTTGGGCTGAAATGTAAACGCCCAATATGCGGGCTGGCCAAAATGTACGTACATAAGTATCTATGTATCTATATATCTATATCTCCATGTATCTGTAGCTGTATTTGTTGCTGTCTTTGCGCCGTTGTCTATTTGGCTCACCCGACAAGGCTATAAATGTTTGAATGGGCAAAAATGTGAAGCGCATGGGCAAAAAAAAGACAAAACGCGTTTTGCTTAAAACTTGTAAGACATGGCATATGAAAGGCACGTGAGAGGACAAGTTCACAAATAGGGCAAACAAGGCACATAATATTATTTACTAATATTAATATTATTATTGTGTATTTTTGTTGCTTTTAGTAATACATACGTATATCGCAAACAGCTCGGATACGATTACTATATCATATAGTCACTATATATGTGATATATAATAATATGTATATTTTGATTTCAACATAGTGGTAATATACTAAAAATGCATATCATGCTATCTTTTAAGACTGTGCATTTGATGCACAGCACTTTTTATTTTATGTATACATATATTAGAAGACCTTAATGTGCTACCCTATATGTTTTAATATGTTCTCAATAGGTTTACCAATATATTATCGATTCATTATAGTTTTGATAGTTTGACAAATCAATTATCGTTATCGATAAAGGTTGCCGTACAGGCTACCGAGTCAGAAATTTCCCATCTCTCTTTAACCTATCTTTCTTAATACTTATTCTGTATCCTGTTAAGAATTTCTTCACGCTCTTGAATAACTTTTTTGCCTCTAAGTAAAATTAATTAAAATTAATGTAGCTCATTAAGATTATTTTGAATTTTACCTAAAAATACTTATTCTCGACTTACTACCTAGAGGCTCTAATATCAGAATATTCATTTACAATGACCAATTTTCTGCAAGGATGTTTAATCTTCGTCACTTCCATAACCATTTTGTTATTTAATTTTCGTTAGCTTAAGGCAACATTTTTCTATTGCATCTGTCCTAACTGTCACGAGTTAAACAATTGCAACGGCAATCATCAGATGAAACAAAAAAATAAAAGAAAAACATTAGAAGACAAATCTTTAATTAACTTGCGTCAGAGCTGTTGAAAAATATTAATAAAACATTTCAATTTTCATGTTTTTCGTTTTACCGCAAACCATTTTTCCGGCTGACATTTAACGAGTTGAAGTTTGAGTTGGCCCCAAACTTGTTTCTTTTGGCTACGGTAGCCGCGGAGTCCGAGTGTCCGAGCGGGCATCTCTTAATTGATGCAACAGCAAAATGTTTTGGAAACAAAGCAAAGATATGAGCAGACAAGTGCCATAAATAAGACCCAAAATCAACTGAGCGGCTCATTAGCAGACGCGCCACGACAAAAGCCAAAAAGAACCGCGACACTAGACGCACGACTCTAGCCCCTTGTGGCAAGTGCCGGCTGCACGCTGGTCTCCTGCCTTGGGGGCGCATACAAAACGAATCACCAAGGCGCCAATACAGTTTAAAATGAAAACATTGCCGCGACTCATTAGTAGCAGCCCAGCAGGGCGGGTTCCAGTTCAAAAACAAAACAAAGTTATTTAAATTTACTTAACTGCCTTGAGATTGTAGGGGGTTCAAATGCCTCGACTCACATATATGTAAGTAGTTCATATTCTGATCAAATATAATGCAAATCCGATGCGTAAGCACACGTTTTTTATTCACACTGTTGTTGTCTTTAATTTTCGTAGAAATATTTATTTGAAAATTTTTGAAAATATTCCTTTACCATTATTTTTAATTTTTATTTATATTTCTAATTAATTATGGAAGATTTTGTTTTGTTTTTTACTAACATTAGGTCTGGATATTGTAAAAGATGTTTAAAAATACAGTTCAAATTTGTACGTATTCGCATATACAGGAATTCGCATTATAAAAATCATGATTATTCTTCTGAAAATATAGTAATTGTCGAACTCATTTTCCAAGCTATTGACTGATATTCTCTTCCAGGATCGACGTTTCTGCTTACATAGACCCCAAATTATTTCTCATACTTTTCTTGGTCTTGTCTTTATAGTTTAATTTATAACAAAGAGTTTTCTAAATGTTGCCGAAAAAATAGATGCTACCATCAATAATAACAGTTACACATAACATACCTTTAGTTCCACTATTTTGACAGACTCTGGCTACCTTGGTTCCAGTGTTGGAAAGCAAATAATCAAAATTAATTAAATTTCAAAACTTCTAGAAGCAATTTAGTGTAGAATTTTAACAGAATTTACAGAAAATATACTAAAATACCAATGTAACAAAGTTTAAGTATTATAAAGATTAATGTTTATAAAAAAATTAAATTTAAATCAACAGAGAATGGATAATAAGTTAACAAGATAGCATTCCCAACTTATATTTATTTCGGCTTATAAAAGCGAGCGAATGAGAAATATTGTTTCTGCGGTTTTTGTAAATGGAATGTTTAAGAAATCGTGTACATTGAGGTCGTCACACTTCACGCCTGAGAGATTGCAATGCCAACGCATGTTGGACACGCCATTTTATCAATCACGTAGAATCGCGGCCATTTTGTTTCGTCTTTTGGGGGTACGGTAGCGTTACGTGTGCGTCCCGCCTCGCACAGTGAGTGCTCGTTAGCGTTGATTTATGCGCCCAATTTGTGGCATATAAAACACGTATTATTGGAAAGAAAAAGTTAAGCCCGGCTTGTGTACTCTGATCCAGGATGATGGCCGCAAATTGAATTGAAAATGCGTATTGCAAACATTTTGTAGCTGCCTAATGATCAACCATTTACTTGCCTAGTTTATGCCAGCAGCAACAACTACAACAACAACAACACCAGCAAGAACAACAACGCATAACCAATAACAACAACTGCAAGCGCATCGCTCTGTGATTTTATGACTCCCAACGCCAAACAGGACAGGAACAGACGCCAATGGCAAACCGTGTGTGGCATTTATGTCGCCTGTCATGTCAATGGACAGGCCGGCCTTAAGCCTGGTGACAAAGTTGCGACAACAGTGGAGTGTGTGCCCCGCCGAATGGTTCACAATCAAAGAACCAACCAACCACAAACGCCCTCCAACTCCACCAGCACACACACACAAATACACATAAATACACACAGGTCCGCTCGTCATGCTAATTGCCATTTACACCTAAAAACCACAATCAAATTGAAACAAATTCCAAAGCGTGCGTGTGCATTAAACACGCATCAATTAAGCAGACTCGACTAAAAATATACCCTGTATCCGTTGTCGCATAAACAACGAAAGCAATTCTTATTTCTAGAGTGTGCTCGAATATTAATATTCCCTATATGAAAGTGATAGCAATATCTTATTTTCTTTTGAGAGTACTTCCTAGGCTCCGTTGATTCTTACTTGTTAATTCACATTTAATACTAAATATTTTTTTTTAAATATTCATTTATATAAATATGGTAGAAAAGTGAGAGTCAAAAGAATCAGAGAAGGTGCACTATTGCAATTAATATAGATGCACGATTTCTATACATATGTATTCGTACTTAAGCTCTGATATTCGAAATTGTGG